CTCACGTGACAAGGGGGGAGGTGTGCTGAAAGCTGCGAGGACAGGGTTATTGGACGTGAATCAACACGATTCACTACAGGTGTTTGACACGCTAATTCCACCTTGTAAATCAGTGTCTTATGCCGGTTCTATCTTCTTTTTGTAAAACATGGGCGTTTAAAATTTACTCAAAGGGTCAAATGTGAAGGCAGTAAACTCTTCTTGCTGGAGTTCTGGTTTTGTTTCTGGGAGCGACGACTTTCAGTGGAACAATACTCCACCTGGAGTCTACTGTTCCAGAATATACTGCTTAGTTCTTTTTGAGCTTTGATGCCGATTGGTTGTTAATCCTTCAGGTGGATCTTTTTTTTCAGGAGATACGGGAGAAGAGGGCCTATGCGGACACTTTGCAGACACATTTGGACTCGCACATTCGGAGTCTCCCCGACGAAATAGACATTGGACCCGATCAGAAATTTACAAACGCCTTTCTTGCGCCCCTTCCATCCGTTGGAGACCTTTTTCGTTAAAATCCATTCCTCGTTTTATAAAACTTTTACCATCTAAACGCACTGTTTATAGTCAATTTGCGTGCTTTCTGTTGGTTATTTTCAAGACTTTTGGCAGCAGCATACAGAGTATTACAAGTTTTTAAGAAAACTCATGATTTTCTATCGATATGTGTATTTATCGGTACAATCATATACGACGAGATAAATGAATGCATATAACAGGGCTGATTGGACTTGTGGGCTTTTTGTAACTCCAAATTCGCTATGAAAATCCTGCCTTCCACAGGGAGAGCATATAAATTTTTATGGCCGCTTCTAAGGCACCATCTCGCAGTGTTAATGCATCTGCCTGGGGGTGACTACCAGTCTGTCGCTTCATAGCAAGCTGTTTTGGGCGTCTTCTATTAAGGGACTAATTCCTAATTCTAATTTGTCAGATTCGGGAACCTGTGGTGTGTTCATTGACCCATATTGAAACTTTGCCTCCGGATACGGTCGGACTTAGTTTTACTGGTTTCCGATGTCGATCAACTGGGCATTAACAAATTATCCAAAACCACAAGGTTCTACTTTTTTTTACTAAATTAAATCTATGTCAAATATGAGGGCTTACCGGTGGATCTGTTTCGCATTTGGGGCTCCCATTGTCCCCTGAAACTGCAAAAGGTCAGCAACTTACAACTCTGCGAGTCAAGTAGCCTTTGAAAATTCGAGAACAGAGACATGGCGACAGCAGATGCGACCGTTTATTAGCGCAGGGCTAGTCGAGTGTGTCTTTGTGCGTGAGCTTGATTATAGGTTATCAACTGCAATTAATGGACCCTGGAAACATATCAACCCCTGAATAAGCTTTACCCAAGTGCGCTCGCTGAAAGTTCACTGCAAATATTCCCACTTGAAGGTATTGGCTATGATAGTAAGCGCTCGAAAGTCGTAATGGATCAGCAAAGCCAACTGGGGTCTCAGGGGTCCGTCAAAACAGGAGGTAGAAGAAGGAGGGGTTGAGGCAGAATGGAGGGTAAGTTCGTACTTGTTCGTATATGGCTAAAAGACATTGCTGTCTTCCTTGTAAACAACTTTGGAACGTCTGTGGCCGCACCCTGCAATCCATTCCTGTAAATTTTGAAAATTTGTGTGTCGTACAACCTTAAAGGTGCCATCGAATGGTGATTGCAAGGTCTTCTAGACACTATCGACAAGGCCAAAGGCACTGGGGAACATGTTACCAATCGGCAGTCAACACCACTTCTGCAGGACGTTCTCGTTTCCCAACTGAGTGAGCAAGGTCGGATTTGCGTATCTACACGTGGGTCTACACTGCTGGGCCGCATCCCTGAAGGTTTCATGGTACAAGCAACAACAGCAGCAACGCTCCAAGGCGCCAGAGCTATTGCATGCGTCTGCGTAAACAGGAGAATTTGATCACATTTAAGCCTGAATTTATTTTGGAGATGAGGAATGATTTGGTTACTACTAACATGAGGTCTGGACAATCTGAAAACTGTTCCAGGGAGTCATTTGAAAAATTTGCCTCCGAAAGTCGTCTTGCAAAGGGTCGATGTTGGGGAGCTGAAGCATCTTCTTCGAAATTTGGGCTAGTTTAAAGTCTGCCATCTCATCCTGAGACAAAAGCCGGCCGATGCATTCTGAGGTGGTGAGTTGCACACTGTTCAGGATCGCCGTGTTTGACTTTTTCTTAAGGTGAGTTGTTGTCGAGGAGACGCAGCACGTCCCATTTTTCATTGACCAGATCACAAGTCGGAGCAGAGACAAGATGGGAACATGTTGCATGCTGGCTGACAATGATAGCTTCACGGAATTGTGCTTCCGAAACTTAGAATCATAAATCGGTGGAATTAGGCCTGAATGAATTCTGCTTCACGCTGATACCTCCAAGAGTTAATGAAGGCTGCTGCTGATGTTTGCATCATACTAGCGATTTTGCTTTCTAGTGTGGCCGACGAACTTGGACGCCTTGCCCTCTTTGAACGTTGCAATATTCTTATGATGGTGCTGAATAGGTTCTTTGAGCAAAGCACACAGCTGACGGTGCAGCCTACCTTTAGGACCTTATATTTCAAATCAGTTATAAACAATAAGTCATGACGAAACCGTTGGTATTGCCAGATGAACACAACGCCAGAACAAAACATGAAGTCCCTTATTCCCACTTTCGTAAACGTAAACAACGGAGCCACGCCTTGAAAATTGGTGGTGGTTAAAACAGGTTTACGTTCCATGGGGTATGGGCATTTTAAATTGCGAAATCGCGCACAATTCACAAATTATGGCTGCATAATTTTAACTTTCTAATCTAGATGTTCATGCTTCACAAACGACCATTAAGACTTAGCATACACGAATTCTGTCTCCAAGATTTGTAACGTGCATCTCGAAATCGCTGTGAATTTAAAATCATAGAATTAAATAACATTTTATCACATTTTTAACGATGCATTCACAAATAAATTGTTGGTAGCAAATATGATTTTAGTGGGTGCACCAGATTCATGGCTAAGATACACGACAAAATGTTCCACCTAATAGTAAAAGCGTTCATTATCGTCAGACAATTTGCACTGCCTCATGTGTCCCAAATATCTGTCGTCGTCGCTGGTAGAATGGGGAAATGTGTTCGGGTAACTGGGAGGTTCCAGACTGGATTTGTACCGAGACGCTAAAGTAGCGCCGATTACTGACCTTGAAAGTATGCAAACCGTCGTTGAGAAGATTGACTGCAGAGCCATGCACAGAGTGAAAATGTTCCAAAATGTTGTCGAGGAGGTGACTCTGGCAATGAGCGCCACGCTCCAAACAAAGAGCTCTCCGATGCAAGTCTTCAACAGGACAACAAGTCGTTCCTGTCGCTTGAAGCTTTTGCCGAACCCGTCACCGGGGCACCATCGTCGAAGAGCCACACTAATCACAATAAATTGGATTGCAAGCAACAAAACCGCCGGAGTGAGAAGAAAGTATAATGTCGAGGTGTCAGGTAAGAAACTGCAAGCCCGAAGTGCCATACTTCCGGTGACTCGCGGTTCTTTACGCCCAGCAAACAACTGCTGAATCGTCATGCTTGCAGGGGCTCCGAAGATGCAGAACAGAGCCAGAGCGTTCGCCCAAGTCTTTTTGCAACAACCCGAGTGGGAAAGATGGGATGTGTCCGGCTGCAGTGACATTATGAACAGGACTATGGCGGAGAGAGTTTGGGCCGAGAGGTTGACGAGGTAACCGAAATTCGCAATTAGGAGAGAGGCTTCAAAGGCATGGCTTTCAATATCGAGGCTGCAGCAAATTAAAGTTAGGAGAGAGGATATGGCGAGGAAAATCTGTCCGAGAAAATAACCAGCTCCATAAAGCCGTCGTGCCTACAATGGAAAGTATCAAGAATCAGGCTGAATGCAACAATACCTTTCTTAACTTGTTTCTGGCCCTGCGACCTCAAACTATCGCGATGTTCTCGCATCAGCACCTGCCCCTGATTCATAATGCACTATTCTGAGAACTGAGGAGATTCCCAGTCCGAACTTCATGCAAATATCATGGACTGCAGTGAGTAATGTTTGAACCAGGCAGGTTGCCATGTGTCGTTAGCAATCAGCAGAGCATGAACGAAAAGGAGTGTGACCAACCCGTATCCTGCCAACGAAAATGTGAGTGCTAGAGTCCGCCACTGCTTATCGTCACGTGTTTTGCGATACTTGGGATACAAGTACGATAAGGCGGGTTGGATTATTTAGGTTACAAATCAGGGGTTTGGGGATTTTTTACGATTTACTAATTGTCATAATTATTTTCCGAGCATCGGATTGAGAAAAAGGAATATGAGAGCTTTTCAATGCTGATTTATGGAAGCACAATTTAGTACTTGTCAACTAGTTGAAATACATCAATTCTACCCAAAATCGCCTCGTCGGTAGCCTTGAAATTTCGTGGCACATGATTCAGATCCATTAGATGCTGCGCGATTCAGTAAATGTTGGCCTCACTGACCGCTGTCGGGTTGTTCAGTAAATTTCAGCGCAAAACGTGTGTAGCTGTGGGTTTACCGAATCGAAGGGATTTTACACATATATCATGAAATATTTCGAAATTAAAGTGTGACATATGCAAAAAAATTTCCTTTTGAAGTCTTGGTTAGTGATAAGACACGTGCAGTAACCAATAAAATACGAGTGCGAGACCCCTACTTGAATTACATATGAATATATGCATCAACCTATTTTTAATTACGAACAGTAGACTAACCACGTGAACATTTTTCCAATACCGCCGAGCAATCAATTTCACCAGTATCATAGATTTTGTCTGACCTCCTTATGGATTTCTAAAGGCCTCAAACGAAAAAAATAGCGTGAATTGTCAATAGGAGTCTAAGCAATTTACAACTGTCCTAAACGAGAATGTGGTTCTACAAACACCTCTAAATAGGCATCACATCGTCTGACTGAATAAACGTCTGTGGATTGTTGTGGTTTGCTCAACTACGGCCCCTTGGAGCGGTTTGCCTCGTGAAAAATTATCTCAAGAAAATTGAATTAAAGTGGGTAAAGATTAAACAAGACTGGTGTTATGCCTTACAGGTAGCTTTCTTGTGGGAGGAGTTAAATAATTAATTTTTGATAGGTGTAAATTGACTAAGAGAGCTTTCGCCAGATCCTTTGAAATCTAAAACTGATGAGATGAAATACAGCATATTTTCAACAATAGTCACCTCTTATCTAACTGACTTACTGAGTCTGCTATTAAAAGAATTTAGAACGTGTCTAGGAAATCTTATATTAACGACACAAGACGCCTTTTGTACATTGAGGTACTGCAATCTTCTCTTCCTAGAACTAGCTTCTTCCAAAGCTACATACTGTATCTGAATTAGATCACGATACTAATTGAAAAGGTAAACTTTAACAAAGAAATCGAAGAATCCAGCGGTCCTTCGAAAAATCTCAAAATTTAGGCCGACTTCTAATGGCACTTCGTCGTTGGTGCATAGTCGTTGATTTGTCAGTCACGAGAATTCTTATTGCCAATCTTATTGGCATACATTTTGAATTTGCTTAGGTTTTTTAACGTCTAGAACACTACTGACTGAAAACATATCTAGGTGAACACATATCGATGTTTCACCGCATTTATGCTTCCCTTCATTATGGCAGCCATGGTAGTCGTTCAAAATCACATTCACAATCACAATCACATTCACAAGGAACCGACAAAAATATTGCTAGATGAATTAAATTTGCAGATTGTTGCATTGCCTGATCCAAAGAAAAACTGAGTTGAGGATCTATGGTTTATTCAAAAAAAACCTTATGCATATGTGCATTTAAATAACTTAGATAACAAATCATTGACTAATAAAAATAACTCATACTTAGTATCACTTATTCCTTACCTTTCTAAAGGAAATCAACGTCACAAGGTGAATAACGACAAATCCCGAACTCACACCAAAACATATATGAGTGAGCATGTAACTGTCCGCACACCAGTAGTTTCTTTTACAGGAAATATCGTTAACCTCTAGAAGTTCGTCATCGGTGAAATTCGACTGAGAAGCCATGATCACAAAAACAACTGCATCCGCTGAAAGGCCTGGAACGAAATTCACTGCATCCGCTCCCCCCGACAAGACAGCGCGCAAGTGCACGAATCCCGTGAACGCTTCGCGAGTGGACGTCTTTCATTGGTTTACGTCTTTAACGCAAAAGGGAATTGATCGCCAAATCAGGAAGGTAGGCGATTGGCTGACTCGAAGGCCACTTATGGAAAGTTGGTAAGTATTCCTACCGTACCTAGAAGACCAGAAGTTGTTTTGCAAAATTTAAAACTGGGGGAAATTTTATCAAAATTATGAATCTACGTAGTAGGGGTTAGCTCAATTTAACAAATTAAAGTGGTGAATAGGTCTTCGTTACTATCGGGTCTTACAATAAATGATCGGCTTGGATGCTTTAAATATAAACAAAACGTAAGGAATTCAAACACTTTCGTTTATCAAGTGGTTGCAGTAGGGTCGGCGTTTTATGTTAGCCGGATTAAGTTGGCCAAAGATGGACGAACCTACATTAGACCATCCATTTCTATTTATGATTTTGTGATTTGAAATTCCGATTGAATTTTTGCAGAGCCGCTTGAACGTGGTGTAATTTTAGATCGATGTCGGAATATATAAATTTAATATGTAATTCAAAATAGGGTGAAGGATTTTGCCTACGCAAGTAGAACGCATGATGACAACAACTCCATATCCTAGCTTATTTCACTACACGATCACTCAAAAGAAAGTTGCTTTGATCCTGAGAGCTAATGCGCTCATTAATCAACTTCTACTACCAATAGAGCGACAAAAGCAAACTATTTTCCTTGCTCAGACTAGATTTCATCGGACCTTCTCAGAAAATTATCCTACAAGAACCAAGCCACTGTTAGCAACCTGGCTGCAGTGCAATGAGCACCGTGTTATCCTGATCTGTCTGAGTTGTTTTACAAATTTGGTCAGCTGTCCGAGAGCTGTAATGAATCTGTTGAACCTCAGCGTGACTCATCTTCAGCTAAAGATTATGTCCTCCTCATCGTTTGAGAAATATTCATGCGTTTTTTGAATGCTGTTTCCAAGTGACCGACCTAGCTTTGCCTATCTGATAAAGATAATTAAAGTTGAGAGTACTTTACACTTAAATACTCGATAAAAACCCTCTTTTTAGGATAGCAGTAAGCTAACTATCAAATTCAAGCTTTGTGGAACAGTACTGATAATATTTTCCGAAAATTTCCACCTAGTACCACAACGCTCAACTGCTGTATAGTTACATTTAGTTCATTTAGGTACCATACATTACTGTTACATGGCTATTCCATTAAGATTTTAGGCTACTTTACAGATTCTTTGGCAAACAGAAATGACCCAGACTTGAAATAAGGTGTAATGAGTGAGAAGAGAGCGGGTATTTAACTTGTGACAAAGCAGTTAGAATGTAAAAATGATGGCCTTTGGGCTATTGTCAAAATATACAGATTGATTTCAATGAGTATCCAAATCTTTCACCTCTTACACTAACATTTCGGTGATTTAAACAAATTTAAGTTGCACCTTTTATTCGGTCGACTAACGTCTGCTAGGCGCCTCCTTTGATGCATTGACTTATCACGCTTAGCTCATGTGACTTTGGATCACGTGGTTACGCATGAACTAACGCAATTGTGAAACCATTCACAATTCAAAAAGGCATGGTCCCGGATGGAACACGGACGTGAGCGTCTACTCAGATACCAACAGTGGGACATCTGGGTAAATGATTTATTCTCAGATGCATCGCTCAACGGTTGCATGAGCACCCCCAAGGTCGAGAACAATGCTGCAATCACGCCCAAACAAATCCAACTTGGGCACACTGGTTTACTGTCAACGTCAGCGCCATTTTCTTTAACAGGATCGATTTTTAAGTATTTCAGAAAGCAGGGTTTTATGAATGGTATAGGAACAAAACCTAATAAGACAATCACAATTCAGACCGCTGGGAACAATAACAGTGCCAACAGAATGCAGAATCAGATCTCAGGGACGAATGAACCACTTTGTAGCAAAAGGATTAGTGGTGGATTAATAAATTTTCGCAGGGAAAAAGCATCTAAGCACAAAGAGGGCGCGGAAAAACCAGACTTATTAGCAAATAATGACCTTATTGGCAGGACACCAAGATCGGGGGCTAAACATGATGTGAGTAATTTGAGTAAAAATTGCAGCTCGAAGAGGAAAAAAGAGTCTTCAGTTCGCTGTCGCATAGCCCGGAATTCGGGCCTTCAACATTCGATGTTACCGGAAATCCTAAATAGAAATAACAGTCACACTAGCGATGATGAGACGGATTCTGATTCAATGTCTTTTTTGCGAATATCGGAGCTTCGATCTGAAACTGACGAAAGTCTACCCCGACAACATATTAGCCCACCAATCCCTCCACACAAACTTGAACCAAAGTACACATCCATGCCGTTACGAATAGAGTCCAAAATAAGTAGTCTGGTGGACATTGCGGCTGTGGTGAAGGACGTTCAAGAACATAAAGCAGACACCTACAGTGAAATTGAAAATTCAGAGGATGAGATTAGTCTAGTGGAAAGTACTGAATCTCATGTTTCTTCACAGGAACAAAGCAACAAGCAAGAGCTATTTCGTACATTTAGTGATCAGGACGAAAGTACGGAATCTCATGTTCCTTCACAAGAACAAGACAACAAGAAAGAGCTATTTCGAACTTTTAGTGGTCAGGACGAAAGTACGAAAAGTACGGAATCTCATGTTCCTTTACTAGAACAGGACAGCAAGAATGAGCTATTTAGGCCTGTTAGTGGTCAGAAAGAACTACAAAAGGCATTGCCCAGGACACACAGTGATGAAAAAAGTCAAGAGTCGTCCATCAAATCGGTAGATGGAGCAAGTGAGGATGTTCAAGAGGAACCGTGCATAGATGTTACATGTAGTTTGATTCATGATACAGCGCTTAATGAGGCTGGAACGAAGGAGCTTGATTATTTTTCGAAAAGTAACATCAAGAAAATGCATGGTAAAAAAACAAAAGGTCTGAAATCATTGAAAGGAAAAAAGAGAAGAGGAAGAAGTATAATTAAAAAGAGAAATGCTAGCAAAAGAAAACGAAGACGGGGATCGAATAGAAAAACTAGAAGAAAGCATATTCCTGAAGAAAATGATGAGGATTCAATTAAGGAAAACGGGAGTAGGATGATGAGAGCCAAGAAAAGAAAAAAGAAACTGATGGGGGATGTTAGTGCTACAAATAGCGAAGAGATTTCGTCGGATAAAAGTGGATCATCGCTAAGCTCTCCCACACGTGCTAATCGAAGAAGCACTACAAAAGTCAGGAGAAGGAAACGAGTTTTTTCTACCACGCCAACAACAACAACCAAGCCTTTGAAACGGAAACGTTACGTTGACATGAAGGGTGTGTTTAAGTCAGCCAGACAAAGTTTAGGATCTATTAACTGGGCAGATCCCTATATTAGCGAAGCGAATCGAATGCGAACTCTCATGTCGAAGTATTATGCAAATCAGCGACACAAGAGAAAAACCTGCAAGTCATGTGTTGATAAAAATTCTAGCAACGCTAATTCTGACAAGGAAACATCGAATCCTTGTGAGCAGATGATTAATTCACTTCAATACGGTCCTAGAGACCTTAAAAAGGTGGAAGTTGATATGAGGTGTGGTTCCAAGACACGAAAGGTTCAAAGAAGCAACTTAGCAAAGCTACTTTTTGGTAAAGAAGATTCAGTTATAGATAAAAGAAATAGCTTCACTGAGTCGACGTTTAGCGGCGCACCACGGCCACGAACTTTTGTAGAAGGTATGGATAATGTGGATGGTGTAGTAAATGAAACTGGCTACTCCTGGTACCCAGCACCGGTTGTTAGCTCTGTTCCAAGTCCAGGATCGTGCGGTGCTCACTGCTCATTGCTTGAGCCATCCCACCGCAGCAGACTCCGTTCCGCCGAGCCAGCCAAATCACCCCACACTAAGTCCGAGGACTCAACACAAAAGAAAAGCAGAAGTTTAAAGTCACCTGCTTGGAAACCGCCAAAAATAATAAATAGAGTTTCTAGTTTCAAAGAATTACTGGATAAATATATCCGAGATGGCCGCTTATATAGTGTGGAACGTCTTATATCGAAAATAAACAAAAGATATTCATTTAACTTGCGGAATTACATCCACTTTTTACGGGAGGTTCGAAATAAAAACAATGCGAATGAAGCACTAAATCCACCGCGTACACGAACAAGGTGGGGACAATGGACAAAAAAGGACGCTGATGAATTTGAGGAATTTACACTTTTCCTTATAATATCAACGACTGACATTGATGATTGCGTTCTGCCTTTTCGAGTGAGCAATGCCAGGCACAAATTAATCGCTGAAGCCTTTTATTCATTCTTAAAGGAAACGGAAAGTGTAGCAAAAGAAAAATTAGCTGAAAGGAAATCTATTTATGGTGGTTTCGGTGACGGAGAGGGCGAAATTGAAACTGATGATGAAGGTGAGGATCAAAAGAAACCGGAAGCTGGTCTCCCTAATTACACGCAGTTTTCTCATTTCTGGCACCACATGTGCACGTTACCACTGCACCATCCCGTTAGACGGAAGCTGCTTTACTCTAAGCACCTTCAAGATCGGAGAATTTTCGCGATAGAGAATGAGATAGAGGGTCGAATTTTGCTAGCGGAGGACAAGGTCATATTCGTACATGGACTTCCTTGCTTTCCAATTCACATTTTAGCTCCTTGCGTCACAGCCATCCAATATGCACTTGAGCGTTTACAGGACAGTATGCCGACGCTATACTCGAAGCTACTTTTCAGTGAACGACTTCCAAAAGTAAACAAAGCATGGGGAGACCAATCTATTGCTGTCCCAACGAAGGGAAACTTTACGACGGTGTTTTGTTCGGCTCTCCTGGCACCCAGAGATTGTGTGCGACATGCCCATCTTAGTGACACTCCAATGATAAGAAGAGACATCGCTTTATTGCAATGTAAAAATCAAGACGCAGAACTGCAACATATTAAGACGACCAATAAATTCGCTGGAAAGCTATATACAGAATGTGTACGAAAAATTTATAATACTAGTAAAGTCTGTAAGAATCAACATTCATGTTTTATTTAAGTCAATAAAATGTAAACAAATTAAATTATTCAAGTTCGGCGGAAAAATACAACGTGGGATGAAATAAAAGTGGAAAGTAGGGTTTTAGTTTAAAATTCCTCAAAGAAACTAATAAGTAGAGAGCTAACTAGAGTGGGACCAGATGACTTTTATTACAATGGATTTAATTATTTCCTTATGAATTTCGATTCTCAAAGTTTGTCTTGTTTATTTGGTATTTAAAAAAAGTTTTTCTAATGGAACCTGGACGTCAAGAATAATATATACAAAAATATTTGTTGCAAATATATAGTGCACGTGTGTAGATTTCAGCCTTGTGTCAAAAATAGGAAATACGTCACTTGGTCCTATTAAGTCGAATTACAAGTGAATTTGATTGACATCTAAAGAGGTCAATGTTTTGAAAACGAGCTTATTAAAAGAGACGCATCATAATTTGACCCATTATCATATTAGCAAAAATTTCTCAACTTTTAATTGCACAACTGTCTAGAGCTTCTATTAATTCTTCTTATATTGTGATTTGTGCATCCATGTTCGCTGTTGATGCTTTTAATTGGCAGATAGTTTGAATTCTCCCTGTTTTAGTCTTTTGTCTGTTTTTCTGTCCTAAATTAGAATAGTACATTCCAGGTTGCAGATTTTCGTCGTAAAGAATTAGTTTGTTTTTATCATTTTTTGTTTCTACATTGCTTTAATTACTAGAAAGATATGAGTTACTGGCGTATGGTTTTTTCGGCTGTTTTTAAGTTTATTTTTTACGTTCAAATTGTATTTCAAAGTCACTTGCAATTCTTGCATTTGGATAAAAATTAATTTTTTTGTCAACATTATTGTCAATTTTAGATGGTTCGTGTAGTTAAGTTGTTAATGTGCGGAGCTTCAGGCGTGGGAAAAACGAGTTTAGTATATTCACTCGACACACCATCAGGTTCTATGCCGGACCTTCAGAGACACGTACATGGCCAATATAAGTTCTAACACTGCTACTTTATTAGCTGCCAACCTACGAAGACACGTACTTATTAAATGTATATGCCGAAAAGAATATTCAAGAAAAAGTCAGACTCTACGAAATTGGCGGCAGCAACACCACAATAGCCCGGCATTTCGTGCATTCTTCCGATGCCGTGATTTTCGTTTTCGACCTCACGGATTTCGACTCTTTCCTTTATATGCAGAAATTAAAGTCTACTGTAAGTTGCAATGCTCATGGAACTCTATCCACGAGAATTGCTTCTTCCTTATGACAAAATTGAATTCTTATAATCTGTAACCACCTGCTCCTTTCTAATATCGTACATTTTCTCAGTTCACGACGAAGGTATAAAAGAAACGGTTTTCTTGGCCCATGTCTTCGCGGGTGTTTTAAACTTGGGATACTTCGGTGTTTAGTCCTTGTCAACTTTGCTTCGAAATGTAATACGCATTCGCTCAAATTTTTGGTTTTCAGATAATTTGAACTAAATTTGGCAACAAATTGAGGAATGTCTGCCCCAAAAGAAACAATCTTTGGCTTTAGTATTGAGTTCAGAGATGAGTATTCATTATGAGCTTCAACATATCAAACTCAACCTTGTCTGAAATATAGCTCTTCATTGAAAATGTACGTTTATGGTGATGGATGTTCCAGGTCATCTTGTTACCCTACCAAGATGTTTATGCAGACAGTCTATAAAGTCATCACCTTTTTAGCAAGTAACGCGCAACTAAAAGTTTATTCAAAATACAACCATGGTAACTAGTTACCAAACCTTTTCAACAATTATGATGAAAATTATCGCTTGTAAAATTCCAGTATTCGGAACATGTTGAAACATCAATCCTACAGGACAGAGTGGATGCATTTTTTTGTCATACGCTATTAATTTGGAATCCCTTTATTCTTATCACGAGGATTCAGGCAAAACCAAATATGCCCTCATCACGTATCTAAAAAGCTAAATCGTAATGGAGCAGAGTTTCGGTGTTTAAATATACATTATTATTTTTACCCAAAAGTGCGAGTTGAGTAAAATAGCTTTTGTAAAATTCAAATCTCACAGGTTATATTGGTGTCCAGTTCAACTGTATTTATGGACAGGGCCAGTTATTTGTGGGTTCTGTACTAAGATTTACCTGAAGTATTCTTCTGTTGTTTTAATATTTTAGCTTTGACTTCGTGAATTTTGCGTATATGCGATAGTGTGCCTTAACGGTGCTTCTTTCAGTTCAGGTGTTTTGTTTAGTGATTGTGGATATATTGTTTTTAAATTTATGGTGGTATTTTCACTACTTTCACTGTTGTCTCTGAAACCCAGATCGATTTGCTGAAGGAAAAACGTGAAATCCCAATGGTAGCCATCGGAAATAAAAATGACAAAACCAGAAACCCTAAATTCGACCAAGTCTCTCCCAGCACTTGGGCCCAAAGTGAACGAGGTTAGTTAACCCTCTGAGAGCTTGCCTTTGCCTAATTTAAATTGCATTATCTTCGGGCTTTACTTTGAACGTTACGCCGTGTGTGGCTTGTTTGAGTGCTTCTGCACAGCGGCAAAGGCAGAAACCACCGTCCGATGAACCATTTTATGATGTTAGCACACTCGTTTGCTCAGTGCAGTCTTCAGTTTAGATGGAGTCTCACTGAAAAAGACAAGTATGTAGATACGGTGCTGGTCTTCTACTAAATCCCATGGAAATTATCACCTGAGTTTGTCCTAAAGTTCCATGGTGATACTGATTATCATTCAAAATGTGATAATTATTTCTTAATTATTAAATGACGATGTTTAATATCAAGTGGCTGACCCCACTTCTGCAACATTCTTTTTTTATTTAGTTGGTTACTTTGAGACAAATGTTGGGGACAAAACAACTTTCCCACAAGTTCTGGCCGGATTGGTCCTTAAGGTTATTCAACCTCCTGGTAAGCACCATCTTTTTCTTTCAGCTCGACAATGAGATTAATTTTAACACCTATTGGAATCCATCCTATGTAATCCTAAATCAAACGTGTTTCGCATTAGCCAAGTACCTTTAATCATCGCTTCTAAATAAACCGTCACGGGAGTCGAGTGAAGTGCTTATTATCTCCGACTGCTTCCTGTGGACGTGCTCGTCATCACGACCCGATCTGAGTACCGTTAGTTTTATTTCTTCTATTACAACCAAATGAGACTGGGCTCGCGCTTGAACTCGATTTTTAGAGAAATGGAGCATATTTAATCTCGGCCCTGAACTCCTCAACTGTTCAACCAAATTTCTTCGAATTACTTATATTGCGGTATTGACTTCAAAGCAATTCTCCTCAGCAAACGGGTTTAATGAATAATACGCCTAATTCTTGCCACGGAGGTGTGTGCACCTCCATCGTCGCGTTGCCAGACCAATGTCCGGCAGGATCAAGCAATCTTCATGAGTCACGTGGGCTTTTTGTCTCGTGATGTTGGCTTTCTGCCACCTACCTCCTGCTTGCTGACAGCCACAAAGTTGAAGTGGAATTAACATTGGCTAGGTAGTTTTGAAAAAAAGGCTCTTCTGACGAGTTGATCTGGCTTCGCGTTGATCTGCACACGATTCACTTCTCAAATACACTACTGCTCTAACAATTGATCGGAACACTGATAAAAAAATGAATTTTCGCTTTGATAATAAGAGTTAGTTTGTGCTAATTGTTTCTGACGCTGCTATGTTAAGCGCTTTGCCGGATCTCTCATGTTAAATAAACAATACGCTGTACGAAATTCTAGATGTGTCCCGTTCTCAGAATCGACTGATGACTTATCCGGTCCGTTTTAATTGTCTGCAATCTTACATGCATTGAATCCTGGCCCTAGGATTCCTTATTTAACATGACAATCTAATCGGAGCTTACGTAAATCTGCTCGCCTTATCAAGTCTTCGGAAGGCTCGTAAACTCTCGAATACGACGAACCTCACTTAGGTCCAGCGGAGGTCAAGTGAACTTTTCTTTATGTCTTTTGGCCTTCGCTTATTCGTTGGTAAATTAGTGCCTTTTTGGCTGGGCAGTTGAAATTGCAAATGGCAGTGAATGGATTTCCATGCCTCAGGCTGTGGAAAGGCTCGGGTGCTCTGCTTGTCCTCATCGCGGCGATCACTAGGCCACGTTACGGTGCCTTAAAAAAGGTTATCAAATTAGAGGGTGTTGAGAGTGGACTGATAGCGACAATCAAAGAAATCAGAAAAAAATCCAAGTGCTAACCGTTGTTGCTGCTTAATGCTTCCTTGGCCTTCTCAATCGTAGCGAAGGCACAAGTCATCGGCATTCACCTATGAAGGGCAACCGCGGTTTACTAGGTGACTGAGTGTTACACAGCCCAATGCTGGGGTTTCCGTTCCTTGGCTGACAATCGGCTTCAAACCAACCATCTGGGTCGTTGCGTCTCGCACCTTCAAGCGATTCAACTCCGCTTAACAAGGTGTCCGACGTGCCAAAACGTTGTTAATGGCATATTTTGATGTATCTAGGGTATTATCCGACAGAGTCAACTATGCATAACTGTCACCTGACTAGTAATACGAGAGCTTATTGTTGAGGAAAAAGTGAGACGGGAAAGACTCGTCGTTCATTCAACTGTAAGATAAATTCGTCTGTTAATGGGTGGTCAGTTTGTACACAAAGGTGGTGAAAAGCATCTACAATGATTCAATCCTTCCATCATGCTCTTTTAGTCGAACATGCGGTCGTCACAGGTTCCTTTTAAGCAGTCATGAGCATGGTTATCCTTAATGTTATTTTTTCATGACCGGAATGTAAGCGTAAGCATCCGTTATTTATGGGATCTTCGACGTTTAAGACCTTCTCGTTTGCTTACACAATAAGTTTGTCGAAGTGTAAACACGTGTGCGTGAGGTCAACGTCTTTGGAATGTGTGAAGCCGAAGAGGGCGCACAGTTATAGATGGGTCCGATTTCCTCATTGTCTCACAAAAAGGGTTGATATAGTTACTTGAACCCGGCTATGGTGTCTGGAATAGAACGGAGAGAAATTGCTGTTCACAGAATTTGGATAAGATTTTGAAAAGAATCGACAATAATTGGGCCTCCAGGTAGGTCATTACAGGGAAAAATCCTTGAGTCTGTAAATCATTTGGTCAAAATATCCTCCTGTCCACACAAATAGTTTGCCTGCTTATTCGTTTCCCTGTCGATTTCAGCCATAAACATTTGAAACGGCAACTAATCGCATGTACATTTTTTGTCACTTTTGATTTAGTAAGAGTTACCTCCATAATCTAGTCTGTCTCTGAGTTTACCTATTTACCATGATGTCTTTAAATTATCACTTGACGTAATGCCGTGGCAGATTGGTAAAACCGAGCCACGGTCATTGAGTGTGAGGACAAGGTCGTGGCCACACTCAGCGGCGGTCGTTTCGCCCAACCACATGGATGTCCGCGTAGCCTTTACAGAGCTTTAACCCGATGCCTTGGTTTTGCGCACGAGTAAATTGTCCTTATACTAATAATGGTATCATTTTTTTTTCATTACACATTAGGAAAGTCGTCGTTTGCATTTGGAAAGCGCGAGAGTCGGTAAAAGGCGCGAATGAACGAAATCGCTTTTGGTATTTTCGAACATTCCTTTCCCACACCTACACCATCTTACTGTTAACAATGTCTTGTCTTATCAGAATGCTTTTACTCTCTGGTCTTGATTTGCTTTTTTTTGTAAATAAAAAGAGAGCTTACATTTGTGCGTTTGTGTGATCGCAATGTGCCAAGGCACCGCAAGTTTTTTTTGCTTTTTTTTAAAGTTAACTAGCTCTGGGCTGAGGGCGATTGTGGGATGGCAGCGCAAAGTGGAGAGTAGATATTCACTTGATTCCGAGGGCTTTCCCTCAGCTTTGCATCGGGCATTTGCACCACATTTGGTATACTCGCATTTTTCATCTCAAAACGCGCTATTGAATTTCGTAATTAGAATATTACGGGTTAAGCGTTGAGCCCAAATGCACCGGCGTCCCTGCCCACTTGCCAAGTGTCGGCCCCTTTTAGTGTCGGTGACACGCAACAGCTTAGACACATGCGGCCAGTGGCCTTTGAATGGACTCATGTGTGAGGAATAACAAACTACATACACCTAATAACGCAGCATCTCTACGTGACAGTAATGTGGATCTATGAACAAGAGTTTTGTACTTAGGTGTAAATAAAACCTACTATTATCGTAGGTTTTTTGAAAAAAAATGCGATGCCTTGCCGTTTGACACAGTTTTAATCACTGAGGAGGGAAAAGATAGCGTGATTTGGGCTGAGATTTTTGCCCGTGTGCCTTGCTGCTGAATCGCTCACTCAGCGAAAATCCTTACTATGCGCTCAATAGCATTGCCTTTTGATTGGCTATTGGTGATTTGCATCCCAAGCAATCTGACTTGGCGTGGTCAGAACTTTATCGGAACTGGCATTGGTATCTATTTGGGCGCCACGTTGCACCTCACGTTGGAGTGCTTTTGGTTCCACACCAGAAATCGACTTGTCTCTACCTCATGACACCTCACCTCTATGGCGGTGCACCCATGTAAAGGCCATCTACAGCCGAGTGTGTGGTTGCTTGTGCACTCTTCAAGAGTTGTTGTCACAGCTGAATTAGAGCTTGCATTTCTTTTCTCCTGCCTGACACAAATACAACCAATAGGACAACCTAGGATTAGCTAACGGCTACAAAAATTATAGGTTCACCATCTCTCTGCATGTTTATCTCGGTGTTTGAGCAGAATGATGACAAAAATCAGGCTTTTGTTTGAGTGAATGCTTTCTTTTTTTCAGTTGCCGGCATTTTCGATTTCGCTTGTGGGTCCAAAAGGTACAGGAGCAGCAAAGGCATGCACCTGTATTGCATATGCTGAGGATAAGGATCTGGTATTTGCAGGACACACTGACGGAGCCATTAGCGTTTGTAATTTTCAACAGAAGCGCCAATGCGGTGCGTGGTACGGCCACCCCGGTTCACAGGTATAAGCTCATGCTAAAACAACAAATCTACTTGTTTGATTTCAGTAACGAGTGTTATATCTTATAGGTTGTTGGTCTAGCTGCTGTTCCTTGGATGGCCGCGTCACATGCTTTTTGTCTTATTTCTCAAGCCAGGGATGGAAAAATTCGGTTTTGGGATACGAACCAGCTGCTGCTCTCTACTTCAGCGTCCATCAGTAAGCGTCTCTTCATATTCCACTTCTGGAAGGCTCTGTCTTCGAATTTCGTCTAACAACACTAACCTTGAGATCATTATGCGAACAAAAATGCATTTTGACCGTCTCATATTTTTTTAATGATGTCTCAGTTGCAAAATCCATGTATGTCCCATGGATGGTCGTACTTCGATTTTATCTCAGATCGTTGAAGATCCTTTCCACGTAGGCGTAAACATTCCCGTATTCCGTTGTGGTGTCAGCCTTGTTCCTCTTATTTCCCCTAAAGAACCGCTTCTCGAGATCGCCTGCTGTGACTACACATTCTGCCCGTTTGCTGTTTGGCCTCTGAAAGGGAATGGTGCCTGCGATCACCGGCTCGCTTACGTGACCACGGATGACGGCGATACAACGGCGTTGTGCATCGAGGTGATCCGATCACCCGACAACCTGATCGTGTGCTCAGTCGACGCCGGTCACATCTCGAAGCTGGGGATGTGCATGGCGCTGAGCGGTTTGCCCTCGCCCGAAGGCACCTGCCGGTTCTTGGCGGGGTTCGAGGCAGGCTGTGTGGTCGTCTTCGACGAGGGGAGGCCAACGACGCGTCTGTCACCCACGTGTCCCACGGACACTCGACCGATCACGTGTCTTGCTGCCTCCGTGGCCGATCCGCAGGGGTTTCGGGTGGCAGTGGGAAAGGCTGCTGCAAATGACGCCGAAACAGGCTTGGCTGATTTCGACCTTCTAAAAGTGACAATTGAAGGCATGGCTTTGTGTGACTCCTTCGTTAAAAGTTTCTCCTCTAGATAATGCGAATCAATCATTGGTATTTATGAACTCCTTTCAAATGTGTAGGTTTGTCATCGGTCGCTCCAGTGACAGTTAGCGTGCATTGGTCACTAGATTATTCTCCTAAGTTTTACATAAATGGGACATGTTGATTTAGGTGTTTTTGTGCTGTTTCCACGTAAAAAAAGTTTTGGTTATGCCTCGAAATGTTGTCATTTGCTCATAGTATCGGGTTGGTCCACAACTTGGACATAACCTCCAATGGTAGTTCACTTGCATCAAGAGGTTCCGGTAGCATGACATGAGTGCTGTTTACAGGTTTAACAGTTAATTAAAGAATTAAAACACCTAACTGGCCTTGCTTAAACAATTCACAAGGTAAATCAAAGCCGAATTGCAATATTACCTATCCCAGTCAGTTTTGCCACTTCAGAAGACGTTAAAATGGCTTTAAGGAAGTGCGCCTGCTTTTTAGATAGCACCGAAACGCATCTGGAGCGTTGTGCGAAGCAGCCAAAAAGCTCAGCCCATGGTATCAGTGCCGTGTGCTGGCGTCGCGATGGTCTGCTGGTGGCGGGTGGCCAGTGGAACGGCGACATTCGTTGCTTCTCCGTGGCCTCACAGGGACGCGCTCGTTGCCTGGGCGACTTGCGCAGCCCCGGGGCCGTTGTCGGCGGCGGCACGCTGATGGGCGAGTGGTCCTCGGTGTCGGGCGGCACGCAGACCTCGTCCGGCGATCAGCAGCAGCAGCAGCAGTCCCTCTGCGTTCGTTCTTGCCTCTTCCTGCCTTCGAATTGGCTGATCACAACGGCACCGGCCTCGGCGGGCGGGGCTGGGGCCCTGCACGTTTGGGACGTGTACAGAGATTCCTAAGCAAAACGCGTCTGTTTGGCCGTGGTTTTGTCTGCCTGGAGCCCATATTCCTGATGCAAAGGCTCTTTTGTACAGTTCCTTTAGACATGTGTCCACCTCATGTATTTGTGATTACACAAACCAAATCCAAGTTTTAAACATGTGGCGTTATATCTCAGTGAGGTCTGTGGTTAGTAACGATTAAACGAATTCTATTTGGGACATCCGTTATGTAAAGTGTGATTTGCATGGTCATTTAATGGCTCCTAATTTCCATTATGAGCCTAAGTTCAAAGTCCGGTAAATTAACGGATATACTGATATACGTGTTATCTCTGGCCATAATTTGAAATTAGACAGGGTCACAGGCCTAGGCCTGATGCAGGGGAGGACTGTTTCGTTTTTGAAAATCAGGTAAGTTGTAAGGAAAATCGAATCACAACATCTAGCTCACCTATTTGCACCAATCCTCTATATCCCCGTGACAGATTGTAAGTCCTAACTTTTAGTCAGATGTGATTGGCCGCTAAGTTATGCCGATGCATCGTGATATTCAGTTCGCGTTTATAAATAACTACAGAGACAAACCAACAGGATATACGTGCTCAATAAGTACAAATCATGCAAAAGACAAGGCGCCACTTTCCTGGCCATACCGCGACTGTTTTTGTCCCCAGGCAAGGCCCACAGGATCGTGTTGAAGTGTCTGCGTCCGATTCCTCCAATGTCCTTCTGAAATAAGTAACTTGAGTTAAGCCAGTTCCTGCTCAAACCCAAATCTGACCACAAAATTCATCCCACAATTCGTAGATATTTTTCCCTCAAAGTTGAAAAAATCAGTAGAGAAGCGCGTACTTGTGATGATGAATCAAAATAATCTCGTGCCCTGATTATAGCATATGCTTGTTTTAAATTTAAAACAAAAATCACAGACAAGTAGACTTCGGCAGACAACGCACAACAAGTTTCACGGCCTCAGGTGGGTAGATTGAAAGATTTAATCAGACAAATGTATTTCGCCAAGGTTATACGCTGCAGGTGATGTAGGAAAGCCTCAATCGCCTCAAAACTCAAAGCATAGAACTACTTTAATGTTTTTAAAGAGACAACTTGAGCTGCATGCTTCCAAATGCTCTCCCTGCTTTGCAATGTCCTGTCTTTTAACTGTGGGATGAATGCACGTTTGTAACATTCTGGCTTGCGCCCCAAATATATAATTTTTCTCTGGTAGGGAGCTAAATGTTAAATGTGCCTTGACTTGTAGGTACAAAATCTGAACCGCAAAAATATGCCTGGTTGGTGACCAGTGTGGTTAAGTGAGGTGGCACCAGGAAGCCGATTTGGCCACCAAAGTTCCCCTTTCGGACTCCTTGAGCGATGGCTGAAGCCTGTTCTCGGGGCTGTTAAACGATTTTTTTATGTACCATACATGGTCTGAAACTATTGCAAAATGCTCCTCAGGCGCTACAGCATGGCTGTTCAAATTGGAACCACGAAGCTTTTGAATCTCGTGAGACCGTCAACCATCACGTAGATTAGAATTCAGCGTCAACAGCAATGCGCGCACGTAGTGGTAGCGAACGTTGATGACTATGACGTCACAATCATGGAAACGTTTCGTCAGAAGTGGACGGGGTCTAGGGCGGCAAAACCCACCTTCAGGGGGCCCAAATAAGGCAAAGGGGCAACGCGCGAACCTTTGCCAAAACAGGCACTTAGACGGGTAAGTGGCAGCACAGAAATGCTAGTGTTTTCAGACAACAGTTATCCAACCTACAAGAGTGCATCGCAAAATACTAGCAGTTATTTATTCGCATTTTATGCTTTCTGATAAGCGAAGGTGGGGCTGTTATGTTAATGGGATGTCCTGATGGAGCAATAATTTATTCGATTTTCACGTTATAAATAAGCTTTTTAGAAAAAAATCAAGACAGTGGGCTTGTGTGTGTTTGTTAATGAACTTTCGCTTCGACTCGTTCCGCCAAACTACGCAGGAGGCAAAAAAAATAATCAACGAGAGAAAGTGAAACAAACTACGAAGAGGAAGAAGGAAACGAAGACACCTAAAAGGAAAAAAAAGTCGAGGCAAAACTAAGCGATGATTTATTGGGAGGAGGATACACTATTTGTTTACAATTTGCAAAGTTTCCGGCGAAAAACCTTTTTTGTTGCTTTTCCACCACTTAGATGTGGAAGTAGACATTGGTGTACCGGCCAGCAAAATAATCAGAAAAAACGCGAGTTCTCACGCTGCCAACGACGGCTTTTTCTAGTCGGTTTTTTGGCTCGTTGCGGCGATCAGCGGGTGTCAGTTGTTCCCACTTAAGAGAGCTGTGTGGGACTTTCGATCTACAGCCATCAAGCTCCCAACTGTTTAGTTCCTTTGTGAAAAGCTAGAGGGCAGTGCGATGAACCCAATGAGTAAATTGCTAGTCTACCTCTGTGCAACTATCCCACCAGAAGAGCATGGGAGAAATTAGGTGATTTGTTGCACCCCATCCTTTGTTTCCAAACCCATCAGCTGCCTGTAGGTTTGGTGTGGAACCAAAAAAATATCGTCATTAAGGCTGGTATGCTGACGTCATATAACCGTGAGTCAACACTAAATTGAGAAGTGGAGAGCGATTCATTGTCATCAGACCATGGTTTAAATACTGTCAAAATAGGACTAAGTCAGTCTTCAGAGTTTCACTACGAAATCTAACCAATACAGTAATTCAAAGGAAGATGAAATCATAAATGGGAATTATTACTAATCTTAGACAAATAAAAGCCAACATAAAAACCGATCGCACACAAAGCCACCAGTATGAGGTTCAGAAGACGCACAAATAAGACAAGCATGGAAAGGCATCCTTTTAATTTTGTGTGTTGGTTGCACATGTTTCATCGAATCTGAAGCAGTTAAATTATGCTGAAATAGACCATTTTTAAAGGCCGTGGCTCGGGAACAATGAGGGTAGGGCGTGCCAAAATTTGGCATTACTCACCCACATGGGCGTCTGGCACCTAACGCGATCAGTGACACATCGTGACTGTACTTCACATCCTTCCTGTCCACGAAGTGCTTTCAATGATAAATTTGCGTTCTTTGGACTTCCAACTCTACCTCGATTTCCCACGATTTCCGCTTTTTTCACAATCGCCGTTGACAAAAGCGATTGTGGGCCATTTGACGGTTCGCACTGGGTGCACGCGTGCCTCCGTGAATGCACGTGATGACGGTGGTAGAGGTGTTTGAAGATTTACGGATCTAAGGATTTATAAGCACTATTACCTGAGAAAACTGCTAGGCATTGCATTAGTGATTTTTGCCACGTTGTGTGTGTGTGTGTGTGAACCCTTCTAAGTAAAATGAGACATGAACGCAGGAATATCGAACTAGTTGGCAAACCACTTCAATCGAATTTGATCAGAGCTGCGTCACAGAGTGTCTTAAACGATTCTAAAACAATTGGGCAATATGATTGTCTAGGAGAACAGGTTTTTAGGTGGAACTGCTTACACCAGGGATTCGTATTAAATGAAAATGCAGTCCCACCAGTGCTGCCTAAAATCGATGCCTCCTTGTGATCAGGGGGCTATTAGAACTAGCATTCTAGAAAAACCGGTTCCTCACCAATCATGAGGGATGACTTCGATAAAAGCAGAGAGTGATGCAAGTTAATTGCTAGTATACATTAATAAAATTCCTCAAGTTTCCAAGTCAATACTCCAGTGGACTCGATGTAACCGGTCTCGGTGACCATGGTGGTTAATAAGGGTCCACAGATACTGATAAATGCGTTGTGTGTTTGATCAAAAATCAAAGAAACTTAAAATCTAGCAGAAGCATGACTAAAAGACTAATGAGCGGTTTGTTTTATCAGGAGGTTCACATGATTCAGTCGCGTGGCTTATAAGAACCAAATAAAGACTTGTATAAATTCAACCTGAAAGGTTATTATTTCATGCGTGGCAAGCAGACAACGTTCACCAGGAAGTCTTCCAAAGTTTACCGGGGCGAAGCGTTTTTTTTCAACCATGCACGTCGAATTTCCACTCATTTTCTTGAACACAATGTGGGTTTGATTGGCAGTTTTACGTATGGAGCCGACAGACGGTTTATGTGAAAGATGAAAAAGAAATTGCACCGATGGAGCCCTTGACCGCATCTCCATTAATCAGGTCACCACAAGTCATCAAAGATGACGGCTGTTGACGGCTGCCGTGCATTCCTTGAGTGAAGGAGGGGTGTCCTGCACCGGACGCCACTGAAGCCGACTCCTTGGCTGTGGGAAAAACCCGTCTGACCGGGTGTGGTCAGGTTTCGCCCGACTTTAGTCACCTTTTTATGCAGAGTAAAAGACAGCCGATTTAAGACCCAGTGCTGAAAACGTGAACAACGAAGTAAACATTAAGTTTCAAGAAACATCAAGTTGATGACTGCAAATATCATCTAAGTGCAGCTCACTAGCTAAGAATATGATGCTACTGAACACGACGGCTATTCCATTGCATAAGCCCCTGAAAGTTAAATGCACATGTCTTCGCGACTGAACCTACTGCGTTCACGCCAAGAAAAGTTGCCTAGGCACCGGTAGTCTATTGTTGGCCGGATCCATTAATGACCCTTATTTGAAAGGCCTTTTAGGTAATTGGATAAAAAGGCCGGCAAACAGGTCAGGTCGCCAAGGCCCAAATAAGTTAATGCGACAATAAACCTAATGTACGAATGTGGGCTATTCGTGAGAGCGTTCACTGAACTCACATGGTTCGTAGGTTGTAACTACCCATTGTTCACTTTATTAAAGGGAGCACTTGTCATGATTTAAGACGGCAAAGCTTTGTTTTTAAAGTTGTAACTGACCCAGAGATTATGAGTTTTTGTAGAATGTGTTAAAAACTATAATTCAAAAGGGAAAGCTTTAATTATGAAGACTATAGTCTCGGAGGTTTAAGTTTCTTTGTTTGTGCCTAGATTTCCGAGGCGAAACTTAGTTCTTTCTATGGGGACTATTCATTTAGGAAATATTATTATT